TCATATTTCTAAGTGAAGATTTAAAAATAAAAGTTATCCTTACCTCATGCCACTGTCTAACTGGCTGGTTTTATTAGTGTTGGCATCCCATAGATAAATGCAACTAGACTTCTCAGCAATCACTGCTAGGATGTCTCCATCTTTATCCCAATCCATACCAACACAGTTACTTTTTTAAAAAGAGAGAAAAACATCATTATACATATTTTTTAAGAAAAGAAATTTAAATACTCACCTATTTGTGATTTTTGTCTATAACAAGATCATTCAAGCAATTTTGAATAGACCGTAAACTTTCTAAAGTGAGAAATACACCTCACTATTCACTGCTTGGATAATATTGACTTACAATTTTTGTTATTGTTGAGGGAATGGAGGAAATTGCAATTTTTTTTTAAGTATCACTTTTATATACTATATTAAATATAATTATATCTAATAAGTTGGCAGATTTTCTTGGATCCTCTAAGGAACCTGGCCTTTTGAGAAAACACACTCATCGAGCACCACTACAAATAAATCCCGTAAGGAATCAAGAGGTTAATGTGATCAAGTTCTAAAAGGTTACCTTAGCTTTACAGAGAGAAAAAGAAGGCACTGATAAAAAACGAAGTTATCTTTAGATAAACTGTGCATAAAACAGATCCAGGATGGGTAGATGTAGAATGGCAAACAATGGAAAGGCTAAATGCTGCAGTGGTAAAAAATGTTATTTTCATTTTACATCTTAACAGAAGAAGAAGAGTTATTTGATTAAGATGACAAAATAGTTGCACAGAGAATATGCTCTGTTTTCACATGTTTCTTACTGTCCAAAATTATTCCAAAATGTGAATTGTAATTTAAAACCTTTCTTAAGGATTAACGTTTCTTTTCTGATGCTGTTTTTCATTTTGGGACTCTGTGTTCTTGCACAGATTTACATTTACGATAGCTGGGAAATTACTTCAGTTATTTTATTCTTTAAACTGTTAAAATCTGTTTAGGGATCTTAATTTTCTGTAATATCCTCAGAGACTTGGGGGATATGAAAGAGGGAAGCTTTCAAGTTGTTGATAAAAATCACCTGCCAATTAAAGACAACCTATAATGGCAAAAAAATTCACAAGTTAAAAAAAATAATAAGGCCATATTGTAACCAAAATAGATGTCATACAGCTCATGTAAGAAACACTGACACAATTTACTAAAAATGTTTTTTACTCAGTGCCTTAATTTTAGACATAATTATAACTACCTCAACCTGTTTCCCAGAATATAGAAAACAGAGGCAACAATTAAGAGAGCAATAGAAAATGCCAGAATGGCGACATGAGGTGGGTAGGGGCAGAGCAGGAAGTGGGAAAGGCTATTAGAGACTGAGAGAAGTAAAACGTAATTTGCAAAGAAGAAAGCAACAAACTAGAAAAAACAGACATGAATTTTAAAAGCATGGCAGCATAAGACCACAATTTAGGTGAGAGCCTCTACACATCTTAATAACCGGAGACTATCAGTAAAAATAACTAATACAGGTAATGATGACACCGAGTCATTAAAAATACTTAAATTATGCTTAGCGTAATCTACAATAGAATGATGTCCTGAATGTATTGGGTTGTCGGAAAAGTCATGACGTATTTTTTCTGTTTTTGTTGCAAAACTGCGTCATGACTTTTCCAACAGCCCAATAGATAAAGTCTTTGCCCTTTAAGAAGTATGTGAAAGTAACTTTTCCAACAATTTATTACAGAAGAGATACTACAGTGAGCGATACAGGTTTATCTTGTCTGCCTATACACATGTAAGGCTTGTTTATAGTTAAATTAGCTTTCCTATGAACTCGTTTATAATCTTGCCTTTAAGCTTCCCGTAAATGAAAAGGTGTTTATATAAACTAACTCAAGTGCTATCTATGTATTTCATTAACAACTTAAGGTATTTTTAAAAAATCCCTTTGCAAATGGAGAAAAAAAGAGATACAGGTTACATATGTTATGAAATTCTATTTGATTGAGGTTTTAAGACAATACTTTTTTATCTTTTAGGCAACAAAGCTTAAAAGTTTTTGATCTGCTATACTTACCCAGATAAGTTAATTTCACTTCTTTTTTGACCATGGCGATCAAAGATTTTTACAGTATGATCAGCTCTAAAAGCAATTAAAACACAAAAATATGATTTAAATATTTTTAATTTATCTATGTATATAAAAAATTTAGCTGCCATACAAGCACTTTCAGTGTTCTCATCCTAGTTTCATAATTTGTATTTAAAAAGCTATGACCAGGGAAAAGGTTCTATAAACTATGATGTTAATGGAGATGAATATATTACTTTTCCCACTACACAACCATCTTACAACTTCTACTTGAATAGATGGTGTAGTTACGTGAGCATACAACCATTTGGAGTCAGGATGATTTATTTAAAACATTCACTGGTTTCTTACCCTGTTACTGCAAGGTAATTTCCTGATGTTTTTTGCCAGGTAAATTGGATAGGTGCTCCAAGCCAATTCTTTTCTAGCAGTGAGAAAACACGCTAAAAAAAAAATATTTCAAAACATACAGTTAAGGGTTGATCAAAAAAGATGTCAAAATATGATCATGAAAACAGTAGGATTCAGGATGGTGAAAGCTTATGTTAGAGTTTACCCAAAAAAAGTCAACAATATAACAAACAAAACCATTCATCAAACAATAAAACAAACAAAAAAAAATCACAATCTGGTTGGTCAAGTATGGACCTCAATATATAGGGGAGAATTTAGTATAAAAATTTTTTGCTTTTGAAAGTTTTTGAATATTAATTTTATATAAATGTATAATTTTCATGTTTTATAAATGTTAAAGATTAAAATAATTTAAACTTGAATGTAGCTAATTATTAGTGGCATGGATTAGAGGGAATAAATTTAACAAAACTGCCATTTAAAAAATCTTAACCATGATAGAAATACAAAATGTATCTATCTCCTTCAAAATTATTTTCTTCCTTTACCCATTCTTTATATTTACTTCATGATTGTTTTATTTGGCTATTGGGTGGACAACGTATCAGTTAAAAAATCATTCTTTTCACTTAGACAATCTAGAACTGTGGTTATAGAAACCACAAACCACATGTAGATTTGAAATTTTATTGTGGACTTGAAATGTGGGTAGACCAAATTTAAATGTGCTGTAAATATAAAATACATATCGAATTTCAAAGACTATGAAAAAGAGAATGCAAACTATCTCTGGTAATTTTTCATACTGATTACACATTGAAATGTAATATTTTGGATATACTGGGTAAAATATATTATTAAAATTAATTTTACCTGTTTCTTTAAAAATATTTTAATGTTGCTACTAAAAAATTTTAATTACATTGGTTCACATCACATTTGTATCAAACAGTGCTGATCTAGAACATTTAGGAACACAGAGCTTGAATGAAAAATATTTAGATTTTAATATTAGGTTAAATTAAACAATGATGCCCATATCTAGGCATACTAAGTTTACAAATGGCTTGACAGTCTGAGTGAAGATTATTCCTATGCTCAAAATTAACCATCAATCAATAGGCATTTTGTAAATTAAAGAGATGAAATCCACCTCTATTGAAAACAGAGCTGTGCTATAATCTCAGGTGCATCCAATTTCCTGGAGCATGAAGACACCCTTAAAGAAAAAAAGAGTATAAAAGCATCTTACTTTTGCAATTTTGTGACCACATTGCCCTGGTACCCCTTCATGCAAGTAAGGGATCCTTCAACTTTAATTTCATTAGCTTCATGGTAAACTGCCTGTAGCTGTGATCTTATACATTGTTTTCCTTCAAAGGAGCTATATAGATGTTCCATATATAATACAGTGGAAATGGGACTAGCTTCACAACCGTAAAACCAAGGTTTGAATTTTGCTTTTTACTTATTAGCTGTAGGGCTTAACGCAAGTCACATAAACTGCCTCAAGCACAGAGTTCTCAACTGTAAACCAGGAATAATAACTCCTCACTTATGATAACTTCACAAATTGTGAAGAGCTTCAGAAATGTGAGTTATGATTCTGTCAATTCCAATTTCCACACTAAGAGCCACAAGGAAGCATTAGGACGTAGAAAATAATTTTTAAATTGAGCTTTCCATTTCTTTGCAAGATCAGGGCAGGGAGGTAGTGCTGTGGTAAAGCGGGAAGGTGAAAGAAGCTTTAGCCAGTGGCCCGGGAGTGGGGTTCACGAGAAGCCCAAACCTAGAAACCTTGCGTACAGATGACACTATTGAGCGTCTAAACTTGCGTGTGCATATTGCTCCGTGAATAATGTACATTCGCCACCAAGAAATCTGAAAATAGGACCAATTACAGGCAATACAATTACAGATTTTTCTTTCAGAGTCTTTTCACTCTTTTTAGGGCGCTGGGCAGTTGCGCGGCTTGCCAGGAATTTCGCTGTAAGAAATGAGGCAGCTCCTGGCACCCGAATAAGTCCATTTCACCGCAACGCTGCCAACGCTGCCATTAGACCAGCTCCTGCTGCCGTGCAAAGTACAGGGTCTCTTCACATCCAGTCTGCTCGTTTCCGACCGTGGCGGAGTTCCCTCCACATTGTTTCAACTCCGGTCGCAATTCCAGAAATAACAGGCCTTCCTCTCCGCTTTCTCTTCTATTTTCTTTCCTTTCCGCTCGCTCCTTCAACTTCATCCCCATTCTCCCCCTCCCTGGTCGCCTCGCTCCCTTCCGCACTCAGGAGAGAGGTACGCCATAGGTCCCAATCCTCAAGGCGACGCTCGGAGGGCTGGGAAGGGCTAGTGGTCCCGTCTTCCCGCCCTCGGGGGTTTGTAAATTACTTACCTTCATCTCAAAGACTCCACGGGCCTCGCAATCTAGTAAGTGCGCAAGCGTACATGCTCTCCTACAAAGCTGCTAGCGTGTTCTAGTCACCCTGGAGATCACGCTAGCAGTGACCAATCAGCGAGCACCAGCTGAAGGGAGGTACTTCATACGGTGCTCCGCGAGGGGGCAGAACGCGAGGCCGGCGGTCACGTGACGCAAGCGAAGCAAGGCCTGAACACGCTGCGCCTTGCGAGGCCTTGCTGCGCCAGGCTTCCTGTCGGGCTCTGATTGGATAAGACCTGGAGACATCGCCTGCGTGAGGCGGGCTCTGGGAAAGGCGCCTGCGTAAATTTCGGCCCCTCGCACTAAGAAGCCGATGGTGAGCAGAAGGGCACCGAGAAATTCAGAGAAAAGAAAGGTGTTGATTGTTAGCTAAGACCAGGCGGGAATTGGCTCATAGGGCAAATACTCTTAACTGTAGTACATGCAAAGAGGGCTTGGATGAGCCCCGGTATCATCTCTTTTTTTTCCTCCAGGTTTCTGGGCTAGAAAGGATGAGATGTGAGAGGAAGTTTATTCCAGTCTTAATAGGCCCACTAAATGGGCCAGCTAAAGTTGGCAGGAAAAATGAGCTCATAAGAACCAGTTTGAGTGACATAGAATATTGGATCAAAAAAATGCATGATCACATTAATAGAGGGAGAAAAAGCACTTGACAAAATCCCATACCCTTAAAAATGCAACACGTATTAATGATAAAAACAAACTAGAAATGGAAAGTAACCTCAAAGTGAGAAAGATCATCTACAAAAATATATATAACTAATTAACATCATATTTAATGATGAAAGACTGTATGCTTTCCCCCTAAGCTTGGGGGAAAAAGTGTCTGTGACCTATGAATATGGTATAGCTTTATATTTATTTTCTTTTTTAATTCTTTGAAACATTTTGTAAATTTCAGTGGACAAATCTTTAATTTTTTCTTTGGTATTTTGTTTTATTTTTGATGCTATTATACATAAATTTTAAACTTCTTCATTTTTGGGTTGTTTCTTTCCAGTGTAGAGAAGTGTAACTGATTTTTTTACATTGATCTTATATCCTGCAAACTTACCCAACTCATTTATTATAATAGTTTTCAGTGGATTTCTTGGAATTTCCTATATTCAATATCATGACATCTGCAAATTTTCTATATTCAATATTATGACTTCCTTGCCAGTCTGGATGGTCTATATCTCCTTTTCTTGGCAAGAGTGGACATCCATTTAGGAATTCTAGAACTTACTGATATATTGTACCCATTGTTATTTATTGAATTATAAAATTGTGCTGTCTTTTCATTTTTAACATTCGCTTTTACCTCAAGTTAAATGAAATTGCATAATAATATGGTCAATTTAATGTATTTTCAGGAAATTGGCTGAGAATTTTATCAGGCTTGTGAACATACTTTTCTCAATAACCTATTTACAAAACAAAACTGGTAGGTAATGGCCACTGCACATTAAACCTTTAAATATGAGTCTTGAGCACTGCATTTGGATTTTTCAGTTTTATTTTTGTGCATAGCCTCATAATATGTTTATATATTTAAATGTTTTTCCATTGTAAAATATGATTCTCTTAAGGACTGCGAGGTGTAATAATGAATTGAACTTGGACATAAACCCCCAGTTTAAACCCAGTTCATGGCATTTACCAATTCTTTGACCTTGGGCAAATTTCCTCTTCTAACTCAGTGCACACAAATCTAAAATGGGAATGACAGGACCTACCTAATTTGATTTTAGAGAAAATTAAGTTATTTAAAAAGAAAGAGAAAGAAACTAAAATCTCATTATCAACTTTTTTTTTTTGCCTATTTCTTTCTAGTTTTTGCCCCTATATACGCCAATTTTACTATGTATTTATAATTATGGTATGTGTGTGAATTTAACACATTTATTTAGGTCAGATAATAAATATAACTCATTTATTAGGCTGCTCAGTCCTGAGCGATAGAAAAGCAACAATCCTAATAAAGGTTTCTAGTTTTGCCAGACCAAGTAAGTCATCTCTTTCTTCTTCAACTCCCTTCTGCTGCTTTTGGGCTAGCTCATTTAGATCATTAGTTCTCTGACTTCAGTGTGTATCTGATATGTTTAGTGTATAATAGAATCATCTGGAAGGCCTGGTGAACACAGATTGCCAGCCCCATCCCCAGAGTCTCTGATTTAGCAGTTCTGGTGTGCATCTGGAGAATTTGCATTTCTAACACGTTCCCAGGCTATGCTGATTATGTCCATCTGTGGATTACACTGATCTCTAGCAATTGTTTCCTAAATCCCCTTTGCTTTTTCTCATATGTTATACTAAAAATAGTCTATATGTTTTTTACGTTAAGTTTACATAGTAACAAATCTTTTCCTAGGATATGCCTTCTGAAAGTCACTTATCTTTCTTTTATTTTTTTAAATTAAAGTTTATTGGAGTGACAATGGTTAGTAAAGTTACATAGGTTTCAGGTGTACAATTCTGTAATACATCATCTATATATCACATTGTGTGTTCTCCACCCAGTCATTTCTCCTTCCATCACCATATATTTCAATATATTATTTTTAAGCTGCAAAAAGCATTATTATTTCGTATAAATCAAGGATCCTAACTAATGCCTAGTTTTCTGTTTTTTATTATTCTTGTTTTTCACATTAGGCTGACAGAATTGGTAGGATTTCAGTAGGTGGATAACAAAGAAAAGGATTGTAGAGGTAATGCAGTACAGTGGAAGATGTGGACAAGGTGATTTGAACCCAATAATAACCACTTAGTAACTTAGTGTACTTAACTTCCTCAGCTTCACTTTTCTTTTTAATGGAAATGTATTTGACATATAACATAGTGCAAGGTGTACGAATTAACAAATGTTAATTTGATACATTTATATATTTTAATATGGTTGCCATTGTAGTGATAATTATTGGCTTCACTTATCTATAATGGAGCTTGAAACTTAATGGAAATATTTTTATTTGTGGTAGTCTTCAGTAAATACTTGTATTGTTTGGAAGTGCCTGTGTCCTTATCTGAATGCAAAATCTTTTGTAATATCATATTCAGGAAGAAGGGAAATCCAGCTTCCCGTTCTAAAATTTAAGAACCAGGGACATGATTAAGCCTGTCCATCTGGGAAAGAATCTGGTGCCAGCTTGTTTAGAAGAGGTTCATTGAAGAGTTATTCAAGCCATTATACAACCTGTGGAAGAGGGTGATTGCAGAGCGCACAGAGCTATTAATTTTTAAAGCTATACATCTTAATTGTGATTGCTTATTTAAGTATAAATAAATATCTGTCATAGCAATCTTCAGAAACATCTTTTATTTGGGAAAGTATGGCATTATGAAAAAGTATTTTTGTTAGAATCTGGTATAAAAACTTATACACATTGCATGAAGCTTGTCAAAATAATACTGAAAAAAGTGAATAGCATAACTTGCTATAATATCAGAAAAATGTTTTTCCAGAGAGAGAGGGGAGAATTTCCAAGGTGAAGAAAAAGAGGGATAGCATGGCATTAGGGATGGAAAATAAAGACCTTTAATGCTAAATACAGATAAAAGAATTACAAAATTTAGATTAGGAATTCAGGTTTTGAAAATAAATAGATATAACTATAGAGTTTTTTTATTGTACACATATTATAGTAAATGCTGGTATTTATATTTTTGCATTCAATTTATCATTTAGACTTCCAGACTTTAAAATGATGGCCATTTAAGAAAATACATAATTCCCTACTCATATTATATAGAAATGAGGTCTAATAAGCATAGCAATTAATAACTAGGGAAATATAGTGTATTCAAAGGTAATATCTGATAAGGGGATCCTAAATTGAAGACATTTCCCTTTGGTTTTCTAACTAATATCAGTAGCTAAAAATATTAATGTCATTTAAAAAATTATTAATTGCTATTATATATCATTAATTTTAAACTTAAATTTGGATATTCAACATTAGCCAATTATTTTTGTCCAGTTCTATGCCAAGCATGACTAGCAGAAGCTACATGGCTATGAATCAAATAGCCATGGAAATTAAGAAATTAAAATTAGTTCTGGGTCCATTACAATTTAATGATTCCTGTTCTCAAGGGGACAATTTTTGCATTACTTCCCTTGAGTTCATATAGAGTAGTAGTTCTCAATCCTGTCTGCTATTAGAATTATTTGGGAGGGAGGGGCATTGGGGGTGGCATAGGCTCAACCCAGATTTATTGAAACAGAATTTCTAAAGATGGAGCCTGGCTCCATCTTTTTTTGCTGTCTTTCTCTCTCTCTCTCTCTCTCTCTCTCTCTCTCTCTCTCTCTCTCTCTCCCCCCCCTCCCCACCCCCCTTTCATTTTTTAAAACTCTCTGGTATAGAGCCAGAGTTAAGAATCATTGATTTTTCTAGAGTATGCTAAATCCAAGGAAGCAAATGGAAAGCCTGTTTTGTTTCTGAAGGCAAATAGCTACTTCTCTTTAAAAAAACCTAGGTACAGGAATGTGAAATGACTGTTGCTTTGGAATCCAGTTTGGCAGGTCCTCAAAAAGTTCAACATAGAATTACCAAATGACCCAGTAATTCCACTCCTAGGTATATACATCAAAGAATTGAAAATGTACTCAAATATTTGTACACTTGTATTTATAACAGCACTATTTACACTAGCCAAAAGGAGGAAGCAGGCCAAATGTGCATGAATGGATGATCTAATTGTGGTTTACACACACAATGGAATGTTATTCAGCCATGGAAAGTAATGAGGTGTTGATACATTGTATGCTACATCATTGATGAATTGTGAAAATATGCTAAGTGAAAGAAGACTGTCACAGAGTCACAAATAATATGAATCTATGAAATAGTCCAGAATAGGTAAATCCATAGAAATAGAATGCAGATTTGTGGTTACCAGGAGCTGGGGGAATGGGAAATGGGGAGAAACATAATGGCTAAAGTGTTTTCTTTGGGGCTGATGAAAAGATTTTATAACTAGAAAAAAAATTAAACTGCTTTTCAGATGCTTTAAAAAGAAATACAACTGACTATCAACTATAATTAAATATATATATATATATATATTATATATACATATATACACATATATATATACATATAGTCACAGGA